GATGAGAACTGGTGAGTGGGTAGTAGCTGAGAACTGGCGAGTTTGTAGTACAACCGTAGTATGCGGAGTAGGTGGGGAGCTGGAAGATGAGAACTGGCGACCTGGTAGTACAACTTTAGTACGCAGAGTAGCTGGAGACTGGGAAGATGAGAACTGGCGACTTGGTAGTACAACTTTAGTACGCAGAGTAGCTGGGGAAGGGGAAGAGGAGAATTGGCGAGTGGGTAGTGGCTGCGAACTGGCGACGGTGTAGTATATAACTGTAGTGCGCGGAGTAGCTGGGGAGCTGGAAGATGAGAACTGGCGACTTGGTAGTACAAGTAACACGTGCCTTTGATAACAGGCAGTGGAAGCCAGCTTGCTGGCTGCCATTGTCCAGATGGAAAGCCAGCACGCTGGCTACCATCATAGTTGCAGTGGGTAAGCCAGCACGCTGGCTGCCATTGTTGAGTGGGTAAGCCAGCACGCTGGCTGCCATTGCAGCCGTGCACGCTGCTTCTCCCCTTACCAGCAGCCCAAATGCTCACGACGATGAGCTGGGCTGTCACCGCTTGGCCGCCGGTGGGGGTTTGGGAGGCCTGCGCGCTACTTCGTTCATCTCCTCTGACAGGTCACTGCTTCGAGACACTTCTGGCGTGGCTGCCTCAGCATTTTCTGTGTTCATTCCAGCTCGCTTTTTCCGGTGAGATTCACTGCAGCCGTGCGCGCTGCTTCTCCCCTTACCAGCAGCTCAGATGCTCATGACCATGAGCTGGGCTGTCACCGCTTGGCCGCCGGTGGGGGTTTGGGAGGCCTGCGCGCTACTGAGTGCATCTCCTCTGACAGGTCACTGCTTCGAGACACTTCTGGCGCACCTGCCTCGGCACTTTTCTGTCCTCGTTCCGGTTCGTTTTTTTCCGTGAGCTTTTCCTGGCGCTGTGCACGTTGCTTCTCCCCTTACCAGCAGCCCAAATGCTCACGACGATGAGCTGGGCTGTCACCGCTTGGCCGCCGGTGGGGGGTTTGGGAGGCCGCATCACACACAGACACCCACACACTCCCTCAACTTACACGAACACACACACACACATACGCAGACTCATTTCTACACGGACATAGACACACGCACAGAAACCCACACACTACCTCAACTCACTCGACTTCACACTTCTCACTGCACACTTACCGGATAACTCGCACTCTGACTTCCTACGTGATGAAAAATGCTTTCGGGCCACTCGTCGTCTAGTTTGTGGTCCGTGCCCAGTTGCAGCAGAGCAGCCATGCTGCGCAGAATTTCTTGTTTCTGGTCGGGATCCATGGTCGTGGTTGCTTGGGCCAGAAGGTCGCCCACCTTTGCCATGATCTCCTGGGGCTCTTGAGGGATAGCGGAGTCCAAAGAGCCGATCGGTGGTTCCAAGATCTGGCTTGCCAGCACCACTTGGGAGTATTTAGAAGCAGCTTCTTCCATGGCTGCCTGGGCTGCGGCCAGTTGCGCTTGGAGCTCTTGCTGCTCCTTCTGCACTTGGGCCAGCTGCTCGGCCAACCGCTTGGCCTTGAGGTCTTGGTGGAGCTTGCGCTGGCCCAGGGCCCGCAAGTGTCCTGTGGCCTGCTTGTACTGCTGAGTGATGTACTTGGGATCACTCTCGTCTTGCATTGGGGCCGACTCAGGACTGTCCACTCCAACCTGTACGAGGGCTGACTGCGCTGCTTCAGGCAATTGGTCCCAGTGTTCGGCCAGAACTCCCTGGACTTCTGGCATGGGTTGTTGGGAAACAAAATTGGCAATTCGTTTTGGCTGCGGCTCAGCCATGAGGGGTGCGTATTCTGTTTGGTGCCATGGATTCCAACCCCAAGCCTTGTCAGACTGGCGTGGTCGTGGTTTGGATAGTCGTACTAGATTTAGCTGGTTCAGGCATCCACTTCCTACCACAATGGCAGCAAGGGTGACCACCCAGGCGATTCGTAAAGATCCACCTGCCACGGCCACAAACGAGGTAGCTACCATGGCTCATTCCGATCCTATCTGACCTTAGTGCTGGGCGCGAGTAGCACCACGGAGCATGAAAATCTTTGGTAGCGCATTCGTTTTCTTCAACAATTAAGTACAATGATATCGGAATGCCATGGGAAAGAGGTGTGTGCAAGCAGATCTTGTTCGAGTCTTCTTGGTGAAGCTTTGACACTAGTTTCGAACCAGGTGAGGCCCAATGCAGTACAAGACCCGGCTGCCGAACTCGCCGTAGAACCGGTGCGCACTGGGACAATTTTTGAGACTGCTATTTCTAAGATTTCGGATAGAAGTTATGAGGAAAATAGAACTTGTTTGTACAGCCTTGCAGTTGGAAAATGGCATAGCATTTTGAAGAGTTGTTTGATTGCTTCGGACGTGGGCCGAAAAATTGCCGCACTAGATGAGCATTGGACACAGTCTCAAGAAGCAGAAGAAATCATCAGGGCAGTCCTTGGAGTGAGATCTCCAACAACAGCCATCTCCAGAGCTAATGCGATCTTGAGGTTCCTCAGATGGTCTTCAGAAATGCCATCCTCAGCGGACATACCATATACAGAAGACTCTGCATGGAAATATGTTTGCTTTTTAAAGGACTCCGGGTACGCGCCAACGTCAGCATCGAGCTTACTTTCTGCGTGCAGATATGCATTTTTGTTTTTGGTTTCGAATGCACGGAAGAAATCACAAACAGCAAACGTGTTCAAGGGCTGTCAGACATGTTGTTCTCGGAAAACGCGTTTCTTGAAACAGGCACGAATCTTGAGTGTGTTGCAGGTTAAAGCGTTACACACCATTTTGAGTGATGAGGGTTTTTGCAATCTCGATCGTGCTGCAGCAGGGTATTTGATTGTGGCATTGTACGGCCGCTGCCGACATTCGGACTTGGAACATGTGCATTGTGTCCTACATGACTACTCTGACGATGGTGGTTTCGTTGAAATCCAAACGGCAGTGCACAAGAATGCAAGGTCGGCTCAGAAAAAAAACCCAGCTTTTACCAATCGTAATCCCCGCTAGAGGTGTAGATGGAGAGTGTTGGCCTCCAAAGGTTCTTGAAGCCTTCGCCAGATGTGGTATGGTCTTCAACGGGATCATCAATGGGCCACTTTTTAGACCTCCAGCTTCTCCCGATTGCAGTGAGCTCTGTGCAAGGGGCCTCACTTCAAGTGAAAGCACGCGGTTCCTGAGAATGTTTTGTGGTGAACGACCAGTGCAGGCTTCCGAAGACGAACCAAAACTATCATCTTACTCATTGAAGGCAACTTGCATCTCTTGGGTTTCAAAGTTCGGCGTTGGGGCGTCCGACAAAGCAGTACTGGGGAGGCATTCGAGCGTCGTGAACGAAAGCGCCGCTGTGTACTCTAGAGACCTTTCAGTCAGATCAGTTTGCATTCTTCAGAATGTGATCCTTGACATTTTTTCTGGTGTGTTCACGCCAGATTCCGCCAGGAGCGGCTATTTTCGTCGGCAGCTTGCTAGTGTAAACCTTGTAGATGATCCAGCCGCAGACGTGCGCAATGCTGATGCGGTCGTTTCAGACCCTGTCAAGTGTGAGGTTGGTTGCAAAATTAATTGCGAACAACCGAACAATGCTGAATCGGATAGCGAAGTCTTCTCCGAGACGACTGGAACGGAATGTGAGCAGTCCAGTGATCCTGATGAGGACCCACTGGAGCTGGCAAGGCCAGCGAAAGCGGGCCGTGTTGAGCAACAAGAGGAAACGAAACCAATGTTCTTTAAACACAGGACGTCAAAACTTATGCTTGAGAGTTTAGATGTAGCCAAGCATAGTGGTTTATAGATCTATTTTTTTTGATGATTTTTTTATGTTTTCAATATGTTTCTATTTATGTCTTTACAAAGTGGTGTTTTTTGGTTTATGATATTTTTATGATTTTTTATGTTCTCTTTTATGTTTTATTTTATGTTTTTAATATGTTTTGTTGAAGTGCCTTTTTCATGTCTTCCCTTTAGCGTTTGTGTTTTTCTTGCTATCTTTTAGCAAATTCACCAATCGTTTTTGGCCTGTGGTTGAAGGTCCGTTCAAGGTTCTTGGTTTGCGAGCCAAATAAATATCAAGTATGCAGAAGGCCTGCAAAATTTCATGTCCGTGATGTGTTTGAATAGGGCTAGTGTAGCTCAGGACTCGCGAGGGCCAAAGATTGAAAAAAACGGAGA